TGTCTTGCTCTTACCAGGTAAGATTCTTGGTCTTCGCCATATTCATCCGATAAGGTAATATGACTTGGTAAGCATTTAGTAAACGGCCCCTTACTCTTATTCTAGTTGTTTAGCTCTTATATTCAAGTAGTTGAAACAAAGCTTCTAGATGTACTTGAATCAAATAAAACTAGGGTACAATAATTATTGTCAAGAAACACATGTTGGTGATTCCTTGGGCCTCGTCTGCTATCATGACATATGCCTTGTCCTTTGCCTTTGGTTCCTCTTTCTTTTTTCAACTGAACTTCCGTATGTCGACATCTAGACCATTGTTGAATTCTACTGAAGCTTGGGACAACTTGATCTTTTATGCCCATCATACAACACTCATAGCAAATGCATCTTCTTATATTGTTTTATTGAGTGTCATGGCTTAACACATGTGTCGAACCTTATGCTACCTACTTGTCATACTCACAAGTGTCTTCTGTTAGTCTTATTGCATAAAGGATAACTCAACTCTGATCTCTTGGCCTATTTCCTTAGATGGTTAATCACTATCTTTCTCACATATTACATCCTTTGGTTATGATTTGAAATCCTTATCCCTAACACAATCCTTTACTAGTTTACAAAATTTCAAGAAACAGAACAATTTTCTTATTGTTTACAACTCCTATATCTTAGCTTCTACCTCGATGTTTAACCTCATATTCACCTTAGCTTTGGCCTACATAAACACTTGGTTGTATGGCCTCATCCATGACATGCTTAGTGTTGAATGTTGTTCTACCATTCCTTCTAGACTTTTTTGATAATAAAAATGACAACATATATGTCCCAAACATCTTTTTGCGTCATAGTCTTGTATCATAGTTGTATAATACCTTTAATAATAAGTCTGACCTAAATTATTTACTTCCAATATTATTAACTATTAACATAGTCTGGCATTATATATCAAAACATGGCTACAATACCGAGTACAATCGAGAATAATACACTAAATTAGCTAATCTTGATAGGCATGATCATTAAATTGTCATCCCACATACTACATAACTAGCTGATATTTGATCACCATTTTCCAACATAATAAAGAAAATCTTACTGAAGTATTTCATCGAAGAATAAACTCTTAGTGAAGTATTCCATCAAAGTATAAATTCTTAAGTCTTAAAATTTTAAGGTTATACGAGTTTGTAATCTATTTCTCTTACACCACCACTCTTTTATTTTAATAAGATCAACACTTCTTACTAATCCATCTGACTACCAATGTGAAATAGCCAGGCCGGTATCACGGGAGCTGTTCGGTGCAATTATAATGTGCGACTTTTTTTTTGAAGTCAACAACTCAGCCGGTTCCTTCCTAGGCACTATCCCATATGGATATATTGACCAGGATAAGAAATTAGCGAAATAATTTGATGGCGTTCAGATAGAGGTTAGTTATTTTAGATATAATGCTTTAATACCCAAGGTTATCCTCCTCGGTTTAAGTCTAAGTGAACTAATCTAAGGCAATCTTAGTTCACTTAAACTAACGCTCTGATACCATTTGTAACATCCCGTTCTCGGGGGTATTGTCCTTTGCCCTTGGTACAAGTGAATGAAAGAAACTTCATATCTTAAACATTTATTTCATTAGAATAGAGTTATTACAGCAGCGGAA